CCCAAAACACTGCCTAATATTGCAGAGAGTTCACCTATTTAAACATTCAACATTGATACTAGCAATTAAAAAAAAACAGATAATTAAGCGATGCCAAAATACAGCGACGTGGCTGAAGTAAAAAACTGAGTGGCTGTGGACATCATGCCCTCAAGCAGTTCTTCAAAAACAAACAATGCCGTCCTGTGAATAACTGCTGGGCTGAGGAACATTTCATGTAACCACTATCACTGAGTACGGTTGGCCACAACAATAAACACCACCAAGAGACTCCACCACCATGGCTGGGGTACAAGAATTTCAGATGGAGTGGCGCAAAGGTGAAATTATTTTGAGTTCTGATGTTAAGAGCTCAGTAACTTTTGTTTTTAAATCATGGACATCCCATTATCTGAACAAAGAGCTGTGTCATCAGTGCTCAATTTAAAAGCTTGCATTCATGAGAGTGCATTACTACCCAAGGATTAGGTAAACTCATACCATTATCCTGAAATCCTGAACCTTAATATACATGTTTTGGAGTTTTCCCGTAAAAGCTTTTCTGTTGTTTTTTTTAAAGTACTGGCAATTGTTCACATATTATAACCACATTAGAGCCCTACTACATTCCAACACTGTAGACTAAAGCTCTTCAGAGGGTTAGGATTGTTTTTGGACTCATTTTAACTGTAATTGAACTGAAGTTTAACTTGTCTAGTTACGATGGAAGGGCAAACACAATTATTGACCATATTCTCACATAATGAGTCTACAGAATACATTTTCAGTTGTTACTGAGAAGGTCATTTTTAGTTGACACAAAGGGAAGGCAAGGACTCTGGTACCAAGAGTTACAGGTACATGATGGTTGACATTCACTGAATGTCATCGTCATATATAAACTAAAATGACAAACATCAACCTGTAAAACTTCACAACAAGGCATCTCCCTGCAGACCAACAAGAGCTGCTCCTAATAATAATAATTATTTCTAATATACAACATATTTTATGCATATTTTCATATTTACAAATCTAATACATAATTGTATTCATTTGACTCCGTTAAACTTCATTGTATTTTTATTTGTGTGTGTTCATGTTTTTTAAGTACAGGTAACAAAAATGGAATACTTTAACCTTTTGTTCCCTATGTTTAGGCAGTAAATGATAATCTAGATGTTCTAGTGAACATCTGTTTAAGACAGCTGTGTATGTGTACTTGTGCTTTTGCTGTATACAAATAAAAAATGTGAAGATAAATAAATGCGTTGGTGTGTGTGCGTGAAAAGTGTCAGAAAGAGTTATTAGGATAATAAATACGGAACATACATGTTCATGCTTCGGTATGCATGATGCACTACGTTACTATGTAAGTTGTATTGTCGTGACTTTGCGGTCTTTCGTTTTCTGTTCTGTGAACTGTGTGTGATGAGTGCCCGTGTTGGCCCATCTACATAATTGTTCTGTATGTGTAAACTAACAAATTATGTAGATCAAATTATTTGTATATATAATCATGTGCAGTGTGTGAAGCCAGTATCTGACACAACTAGTGTGTGTGCTTATTGTGTACAAATGTGCTTGTGTGGATTGTGTGACTGCGTTTTTGTGCGTGTGGATGACTTGTCGTGTCTTTCATGGATGCGTTTTTGTGATAGTTTCGTGCCGCTGATTGTGTGTGTGTGTGTGTGTATATGGCACTGTATGATAATTTGTATGTGTGTGTTGATGTGCGTTCCTCCTCTGCCCAGATGGCTGTGCTGAGAGCCTGGAGCTTCTGAGATCTGCCGCCAGTGGTGAATACTGATCAGAGATCACTGTCACGTCAATAGCGCGCACACGCACACACACGCACGTGCACACTCATCCATCTTCCTCCCCACACACCTCCACTTCCACATGGTCCAACTACTAATTCACACCGCCACTATGTGTCGTCCATGTTGATATTGTCTGGCTCTGCAGGTCACGGCTGCAACGCTGATTATCTGCTCTTCTGTCACACCTATAGACTGAAACTTACATCCACTAGTCCAAGAGGTTTCGGTTTCATGCTGTGTTGATGACCATTATTAAGAACCATTTCACTTAATACAGCAGAAATATGGATCTGGCTTGAGAGGCTCGACTAAAGGTTGGGACTGCGAAATAAATCAAGGGAACTTTTGTCATATTACCAAAAACAGCAACATTTTTGTAGTTTGGAGCATTAATATTGTCCCAGAGCAGGGTTATGAATTACCGATTAACTGCGTATGTATATATAGAACACACAAAGAGAAAACATCCATCAGTCAATTTTCTATAAGTGTGGAATCTGATCCAGGGTTGCTGGGACTGGACATTATTCCAGTCACAAAAATAACAAATTTCTGATAATGAAATAATAATAAATACAGAAAACTCTGGAAGTAAAGCAAATTAAAAAACATTAAATATCATCCATCTGTATGCGAGTTAAATGCCTGCTGCCTTACACTTGGTTTCCTCTGCCCTGTTGCACTTAAACTCCCACATTAAATTTGACAGCCCACATACATAGTTTTAGTTTTCTGCAAACCAAAAAAGTGAAATCTATGACAGTTGAGATACACACTGCGCTCCGTGTATTAGCCCCTCCCCGCTTCATGAAAACACGGTGGTCCGGCCCACTGTTGTTGTTTTCTGACCTCTCCTCAGAACCTGCTGCCATCAGTTTGACCAAAACCTTTTCTGTGCACGCTCTCCTCAGCTTCAGGCCAAAAATGGGAAACCTCAAAGTGTCGTTGTATTTCAGACAGCAGAAATACAGACTTAAATGCTGCGGCTACCAACTCAACTGCAGTCTGTTCAGAAGTGGCAGAATGAACAAAAAAAAAAAAAAGAAACACGACGGTTGGCGGGTCACTCTGCTGCATTGTCAATAACAATGAACAAAAACAGTACTGAGAAAAAAGACGATAATGGGACCCAGTTCTAATCTATCACAGACCTGGTGGAACGTTTCTGTATGTTCTTGCTGTTTTTTTTGTTATAAACTACCATATTTTGTTGCAAATAGGAGGGCTTATGAAACTGCTATGCGCACTGCACTGAAAATGACTGCAGTATTGTTACACAGTGTGAATGCATATAGAAGTTTTATGGGCTTTTATCATTTTTAAGTCCATAAAATGAATTCTGTATTTTCTGACCTGTCCCCCACTGTGATGGCTTCTCCTTCGTCCGACAGCATTTTGCCAGTGATAATCACACAATCTGGAGGTGCACTCGCCAAATGCAGCAGTGAGAGTTTGATGGTGTGGCTTGACAATAACATCAGTGAAACGTTTCTACATTTTCTGCACAGCTTTTGCTGAACCATTTATTGGACAACATGTTCCCTCCATGTTTGCTGCACAGAACGGCTTGCTGTGCTTTATTCGAAAATCTGGAGGGCAACAAAGTGAGTGTGAAAACCAGAAAACCTAATCCTCTGGAAATGTAATTGTTGAGTCACTGGTGACGGTCGATATTGCCATCAAATCCCTCCAGATATACAGTATTAAGAGCCTTTTGTTCGATTAATACCTGCATTCAAAGCCAAGGTTAACCTAGACAAAAACTATCATTAAATGGATAAGCTGCGCCTCAACGAGATATTTCTCTGATTCTTCCCGATCTTTTTCAAACATCCACCTTCTCTGTGAGACAAACCTTTCAGGGTGCAGAACCAAATTGTTATGCTGCAAGGATCAAACCTGTCACCTCTACCTCTAATCAGCTCCAAGGCAAATGAATGCAAATTACTCTTCAGAGGACGAGCCACAGCAGTGTCCATCACGCCTCGACACGCACTCTGGGATGTAGTTAGAGAGCACAATGCATCTCACGCAAAGACACGCACAAGCACGCACGCGCGCACACACACACGTACAGCCCCAAACGAACTCCTACAAATACCTACATATGAATGAGCACAAACGCAGGTGTAAACTCCCTCGTTTTTTCATACGCATATTCTCTGAAATATCCTCTGAGAATGTTTTTGCCCCCTCTTTCCACATTTCCTCTTTTCATACAACACACCGAGACGCAGGATCCTGCGCTGTCTTCCTAGACAAAATGAAAGTGAGGAGGCAGCCGCATCAAACCTCCAAATGGGCTCTGGGATCTCGGAGGACTTTCATTGAGGGAAGAAGTCACTGCTGCCTTGTAGCTGTCAGCAGCACAAATCTCTCTGTCTGATACACACACACACACACACACACACACACACACACACAAATCACACATGCTTTAATCAGGAAAAACACGTTTGCACAGATATGCATGTCCAAATACTTTTCCCTCATTATCTTATGAACAAAGGCACATACATGTATTGAGGAAATATATACACATACACACACATATACATATACTGTTTCTGCGTTGATCTATTTCCATCCATCACACACATGCATAAGCCCGCCAATGCAACACATGACAAAGTGCTCCGTGAGCAAGGCTTCCTCTGCATTCCAGTCGTCTATCCTCGACAGGTACGCTCGCTATTTTCTGAGAGGGTTAGCGATGCAATGAGTGCAATGCAACTGTTTTTCAAGGTTTTCTTCCTTGACTGATGAAATACGACAAAGAAACCTCTATTACTGCATACCAGACAGGAACAACAAGAAAACTCTCTCTCTCCCTCTCTCACACACACACACACATAAACATACGCGCACACACAAGCGTGTATTCATACAAAAGTGCAAAGAACATCCGCATTTCTCCAACTGCTACAAGAGGAAAAACAGATTCCTATCAAAACCAGAACATTGCCGCATTCTTAAGAGTTTAAAAAAAAAGATCACATACACAATCTGCCAAGTACGTACAGTAGAAAATATACAAAAAAAACATCTGCCATCCCTTAGAGTGGAAGTGGAAGTGGGCTGCACATGTTTTGCACAGGGGGGTTCTCGGGTTTCACTAGGTAGGGAACCCCAAGGTTCTACCACTGAAAGCTGTTGTGCGCTGCTGAGACGCTGCTCTAGGAGCTTTGATCCACTTACCAGAAGGCACAAAATGAAGAACTTTGTTGGTCTCCATAGCTGAGCAAGTGGTGGCAAATGCACACTTCCTCTCTCCAACCACCTCCCCCCCCCAATATCAACCCATCATGGTTGTGTTATCCTGTGCTGATGAGTGTGAGATCACCTCTGCTCTCTCTTGCTCTGCTCTGTTTCTGACTGCCTCTCAGACACATGCAGTGACTCAGCCCCACTCTGCCTGCCAACTCACTTTCTGGCAGCTGGGTCCTAGTGCCGAGCCGTCGTCGCCTCAGCTCCTTATCCCAGCCCACCAGTTAACAGCCTATGGCAGGACATCATGCAGAAAGGCATGAAGACCTCACATCAAGACACGCCTCTCCAACACGATTCTCTCAGCACGGCGTGCCAAAATGCAACATGTCATCCTGTCAGCCATGCCAACTTGACTGTATGCTTTGTCGTTTCACCGAGACCGACTAAACCAGTTTCACCATGAATGTAATAAATCTCTCTCTGCAGTTGTTGACAAACATCTCAAGCTGCATTCCTGTGCTGACCTGTCTTAGAAACCTAGACCAGCAGAAAAAGCCAAAAAGAAAAAAGGTTACACTTAAAAAATTTTTTTTTTTTAAACACAATTTCCTATGGAAACATAAAGTAAAATAAATTGATGTCCATAATGTCTTAATTGTATGCATTGGGTCAAGGATGTGTTCTGTTCTAAACAAATCCAAATAACTTTATCCATGTATACAGTATAAACCCAAAACGTGGGGAGAGGATTTGCAACATTAAACCTTTAAATCGTCATGTTTGGCGTTATTATGTTAATCAATGTAAAATGTATTGGTCAGATTTAAATTGAGCTTCTAAGTACGAGACTTTTACAACCAAAAACTGGACTTGAAGGTTTATCAATCCTGTAGGTGTTTGTTCAACCAGACTCAACTGGCCCACAGCCTCTGTCTGCAGTTTTTGCAAAAACAGTTACGTTTTACTGTGCATCAATACTCTTAGATTATCAATAAAGATTAATCTGTTTTGTGAGAAGGCTAAATGAGATCTGAAAAAAGTCCAAGAAATAAGACTATTGTCATCTTACACTAGCTTAGAGCATTTCTAGACTGTCACTCTGCTCTAATAAAATTGTAATTTACAAAATAACTGTTCAGGTGAAGACCAAACCTTTTATTTAACTTATATTTATGATGATTTCAAGCGCAGAGAGTTATCAGAGTGTCTTGGAATATTTTCTCATTTGCTTTCGCACAGCTTCAGGTCTTCATGGACTACAATAGTCAACAACTTGATTCCCCTCCAGGGAATGTTTACCAAGACAAAGATCGGGCTAGGTGGAGCTAGCCTGGAGCTTAACACAACACTCGTATTAATAAATCTGAATAATTTGCGAAAATGATTAGAGTGAAAATCAGTGTAAACTCTGACACACTTCAGGAAACGCATAAAAAAATTCCTTTGGGACAGCTAAGTTTTTTAGAGGTTTCTGACGTGCTATGAGAGGTTTTACTCATGGAAAAATACTTTTGCATTAGAGTATGAGACAGTTGTGTTGTTATAAATGGTTGGATCCTTAAATATTCAAAAGGTGGAGTTTTGGTGACAGTGGCTTGATACATTCCAAGTATTGAACTGTTCTTTACTCTGTGTGCTTTTCTTGTTGTATATGTGACCCACACATTTGTGTTCATGTGTCCCTCCTATTTAAGGCCAGAGAATCAGATATTACTAGTTAAAAGACCACTGCTGCAGTTGTCGATCCTGCCTTTATATACCATTTAATCACATAGTGAAAGGGATTATTACTGCGCTTTCTCTGGCAGACTGAGGTTCCCATAGCCATATTTAGGCTTTTTTTTCTCTCTTTCTTTTTATATAAACCGCATTCAGCATTATCTAACATCTAACATCCAAATAGTACATACATAAGGTCTAGCATAGCTTTGAAGCATACCATCTCACAAACTAATTTATCAATCAACTAGCCGTAAAGGGGGTGGTTGCTGTGATTGAAGTTCAATGCTTTTATTCAACCATTCACCACTCTGTTGTAGTTTTATCTGTCCTTAGTTGGACATAACTATCTCAGACTAACTATCTGAGACTAATTTTTTTTTTTTTAACATTCTTTATTTAAGATTATTATGAATCCAACACACATACATATGGATATTTATGCATGCACTTACATAAAGAAAAACAAAAACCAGGCAAACAAAAAAATAAAAAATAGAAACATTTAAAAAAAAATTTAAAAAAGGGGGGGGGTCTCAGTAAACATTTAAGTCCATTTTGGCAATTAACATTTCTTTGAGAGGTTCTCATGGGCTCGCATGAAAGAGAAATTTACATATCCAGTGTCTTTCATTAAAAGAGAGAGACATATCAAGGGGACTAGCACCTTTTTATAACACTTAGCATCTTTATCAGAGTGGCCAATCTGAGACTAATTTTAGATCATTTTAGGTTTGGTATATCAGGTTCAGCCATGTAAGCATTATTTATTAAGAAAATAGGCACCTGACACCCTATACTTCAAAACCAACAAAACAAAAATTGAAAACTCTCTTACAAAGTACCTCAGCACTGTTTCAGGCACGATCAACATACAATTACTTCCGCTGGAGCATTGACTGAAACTAAGCTTTAGAAATGGTAAAATACTATATTTGTCTGTATACGTGTCTGTAATCACAGACACAGGTGCTCAAAAAGAATCTAAAAGTTCATTTCTCACCTTGATGTAAATGCTCTGTGAAAAGTCAGCCATTTGCTTAAGCCTAAAAATATAACATCACTGCCTGTGCTATTGGCTAGCAGGTGTTTTTTTGTTTTGTTTTTTTGCATAAGAACTGTTGTACACAGTGAGGGCAAATGCATCATTCAGTGAGCCAGAGGATATTAGAAGTGTTCTCACCAACGTGTGCAGTTCAAGTACATTTGGGGGCAGACTCTACTTAAACATCAAATTACATATCTGCACTGCAGAACATGTCTTGTGAAACACACACACACAAAAAAACAAGGCTTTCGTGAATGTTACCTAAAGCTGCCTGAGGTGATGCATTGAAGCCTTGGGTCTGCATTTACATTTGCCTCCGTCTTTGTCAGAAAAATCAGGTCTCATTAATACGGTAGCTCATGGGTGCGCCTGAGGTAGTTTGTGAACGGTGTAAAATTAAACTCAACACAGTGGGAAAAAACTGGAGATGAACCAATAAAACCTGAACTCCTAGAAATCTGCAATTCCATATTTGTCAGAAGATGTCTCAATAGTTACTTGAGGGGATTAAACCTGTTGTTATGTAGATGATAGGCTAATTGCCTGCGGGAACCATGACACACTGTGGATCAAAGAGTTGTGTCAGACCTGTCTGACCAGCTCTATCCAGGCCATACATAATTTGTACCCACTTTGAATTTCATGCATTTTCCACCAACACATTATTAGCACCTACTTAAGTTCCAGGTCGACAGATTTTGGGTCCAGAAGTTACGACCAAAGAAATCTTCTTCTCTTTATATGAAACATAGCACAACCGTTATGTTTTATTCTAAAAGATGCATGCTCCAAACAGTTTAATCATTCTGCACCAATAGCAGCACTGATACTGTCTCATTGGGTAGAGTTAGGGTTGTTAAGTCCTAGTCGACTGGTCAACTTATTGGTCGATACGTTCTGGGTCGACCAAAATTCTGATTGGTTGACCAATTTGCCAGTTAATTTCATTATGTTTATGGTTAATTTCATCAAGAGGAAAGTACCAAGTGCTAATAGGGGTGTTCAGAGAACACAGGCTGTTTTCAGAGAACATCCCCCTTGTTTCCACTATTTTGGATTATCCTATCACGCTAGACACATGTAGCATGTTTACTTTATTCAACGTCCAAAGGTTTGCTGATATTAATCTTTATTTAGAGCGTTTAATTTACAGCGAGTCCTCCTTGACCAACCGTGTCAGAGCTGTCGAACCAAGAACCTTCTTGCTAACCAGTACACCGCTGTGCAGCCCCATGGCCATGTGTCTCCATTGCTAATCATTTAAGTGAGAAAATTTCACTTGCAGCTACACAGCCCAAATTCAAATTCTGCCATCTGCATTCATTGACTGATTCTTGTGTGGGGGGTATTGTAGATTGGTACTGATATGAGAAGGGTGTTATCTTTGTAGCTTGGCAACATCTTAGCTGATGATGTCCCATGACGTGTAATGCAAGTGAACTCTCTTGGTGGAAAACATTGACAGAAACGCATTGATTAGCAGTTGCAAGGCCGTGGTGTGAAACTATCTGGTTGGTTCTCGTATCTCTTATTGTAAATCCTGAGATGTAGTTTGAATGCCTTCAGATAGTCTGTATGATGTTTCTGTTTTTTCCCTAAATTTGAGTCCAATATTCACTTTGTTCTAGCTCTGTCTTTGATCTCCATTAATTATTAAGGAAAATATTGAGCTCCTCTGCTGCTATGCTTGTTTTGATTGCAAACCCATGTTGCTTAACAAAATTAAAACAGTGACAGCAAGCAGAAAAGATGAATTGCAGCCTGTACAATTTTAAATAAAACTCTGTAACAGTATTGAAATCAGCAGGCTGAAGAAATCTTTTAAATTCACCCCCAATTAAAAACATCTGTCACATTGTGTTTCCGCCATTCCCTTCTTTAACATACAGTTTTTCTTATGGCAGCCTCATATGTCCTGCATAACAGGAATCCCACAGTATGGTCAGGAATACAGCATTTTTACCAGTTTTATCCGTGACAACATGTTTCCATTCTCCTTTCGTCATATCTTACTTCTGCAATTTTAGTTTGAATAATAATTTTTACAGACTGGCTTGATGTTCTCCACTGATATAAATACTAACCCACCAGTGTGACCATTTTTTTTGACAGCTACACTTTTCTCTTAAATTTGCCTATGAACTTGTCATAGGCAAGTTTATTGCATTTCTTTAGCTGCGGCTAGTCGTAAGAATTGGAAAACCAATAATTATAAAAAGTGACTGTTCAGTCAAGACGGTTGACTTTTTATTTTCAGA